ATGATGGTCGATCAATCCGATCATCCGGCCATCCGGATGACGCAGTGCTGCTCGAGCTTGTGCTCGAGATCGCTGATCTGCGCGACGTTGTCGCCTTTCTACCTGCCCTATCGCTGCTGCCGCCAACGCTTGAAGCGCTTCTCCAGCTTCACCAGTCGATCGACCCCCCATGAGCCTCCAAAACATTCCACAGCGCGCCATGGACCTTGGCATCACCGCACCAGCTGCCTTCTCGCACGTCTCTGTGGCACCAGCCACGAGCTTCCGGTGGCTCTTGGCTCCCTTGACGCGAACTACCTGCGTGCGGATGCCTCTCAAGTCGTGCGACGAAACATCACGCGGGATGCATCCTACTTGCTTGTAGTGTATCCAAGGACGCAACGTCCACATCCTGACCTTCATTCAGAGAAAGTGGTGTCCATGCGACATGTCATTTGTACAATGTATGCAGGAAATCGGACACGCCGGTGTTGGACAAGGCAGTCTGGTACGTGTCCAGAATGTGCATGTCTGGACGACTTGGAGATCCAAAAGGAGCTTTTTCTGGTCCGCCAAAATATGTCTACTATCCAAGTGCATTGTTTTGGCCAACTGGATAGATGGATAACGTCGGATGGATACAAAATTTGCACCAGATTCGTCAGCTGTCGCACTTATACCAAATTATCCGGATGATTGCCGTTTGGGACTCCCGCTGCATTGTCCAACTTTCGACATCATGGCGACGTTTGCCTGCCTTGCGCTCATGAAGCACGACCTTTTGCGCCTCGTCGGCTTCCCGCCCGAAGCCAACGACTGGATCAGCCAAGCGATCACGCGCTCGTGGCCCGACGGCATCTGGTCCTCCAAGCCCCGCCCGCGCTGCTTTGAGTTCAAGCTTGGCGGGTCGCCGTGGGTCCCCAATGGCCGCTCGACCGTGCACTCGCGCTACCTCATCCTCGAAATCCTCATTGTGCTCAAGCGCCACGGCTACACCCTCCACTCGTCCAGCGACATCTCCAACTCCCAGTACACGCGCGACACGCTCGTCTTCCGCCATGGCATCGCCGACGAGTCGCCCACGATGTTTGCCATCTCGACCAACTCGAGCGACCTCCTCCGCTTGCTGCGCGCGCCCACCGAGCTCCAGCCCGTCATGGAACAGCTCATCGCGCGCCACTGGCCGGCGGGCCTGCAGCGCAAGACGCTCGACTACGTGCCGGGCTGCGCCGAGTTCAAGTTTAGCGGGTACCCGTGGAGCTTCAACGGCGACGACAGCATTGACGCGCGCATTTTTCTCCTGCATCTTTTCGCCAAGCTCGAGGAACTCGGCTGGTTCTTGTACGGCTCGATCGGCCAGACCAGCAACGGCGAAGGATACGCCAAGGACACGTGGTTCTTCCACTACATTGCACCGAATGCGGTCCCTCTCGCCGTCCCGCTCCAGAAGAACGTCGGGTATCCCATGGCGCCCGCGTCGGCGCCCGAGTACCTCAAGTACCAGTAATCGTTTTATAATTTCAGTATATATTTCGCTGTACGGAACTAAGAACTGCGTCCTCTTAGCCCATGCTCCTTAGCTATGCTCCTTTGTCCTCTTCACCCAGCCCTAGCAGCAGTCCATCGACGGGTTGACATTTTTGTCGAGCCGATCGATCCCTCCCATGCAGCATGGCGCCTTTGATGGCACTCTGGCTCCCGCGACAGACACCATCTACCCTCGGCAGCACGCTGGCAGCTTCCATATATTTATTCAGTATCTAGGAGGACGTGCTCGGCGCGTCTGGGGGACTGCTGCCAGTACTCGGAAGGCTGCTCTCTACACGGAACACGTCATTATACCACCGGTTTTAGACTATTTGCGACGTACCCAGGCTCGTCTCGGTGAAGGTTTCGTTGAGTGTGACGCGGACCTTGGGCTTGCGCCGGTACGTGTACCCGATGAACTTGTTGTACTCGCCGCCGTCGCTGTTGGGTGCTTTTGGCACGAGCGACTCGTAGCTCGACGCGTCTTCGTGCAAGTGGCCGAGGCCCTGGTCCGGGAACTCGTCGAAGTTCTGCGTGATCTGCTTGACGAGCGTTTGGTACTGCACGTCGTTCGTGTCGAGGTGCTGGAGCTTGAGCATCGACTCCTGAAACTCACGCCCGCCACGCGGCGGCATCTGCGGCGCCTGCGTCGTCCGCAGACTCGACCACTCGATGCCGGCAAACCACGGGTGCGCTTTGATGTGCGCGAGGTCCAAGCGCACGTCCGCGCTGCAGATGAGCCGCCGGATAAAGTCAATGCAGTGGGGGCTCAGACTCTGGATCGCTTCGGTAGGGAACACCAGAGTTTGTTTCCAGTTGACAATCTAGGGAGCCGATACAGCATTCGAAACACAATTTGCGTCGGTACCTTGCGGCACGTGCACATGGGGTCGTCGGCATTGAACGGCGGGTACCCGATGAGGCACTCGTAGAGAATGACGCCCATGGACCACCAGTCGCACTCCTTGCCGTACCCTTGCTGCAACAGCACCTCGGGCGCAATGTAGTCGGGCGTGCCCACGGTGCTGAAGGCGACTTCGCGGTTGCGGTTGTATGGCCGCGTCCGGTCGTTGATGGGCTGGCCTAATGCTTGCTTGAGAGAAATCAAGATCGACTTGGTCAATGTACCGTTGGCCGCGTCGCTCAGCGTATGCGTCGTGATCGGCAGCATCTCGTGGGGTGCGACGTCCATCTTCTTGCAGAGGCCGAGGTCCGTGAGCTTGATGTGGCCAAAGGCATCAAGGAGCACGTTGTCGGGCTTGATGTCGCGGTGAATGTACCCGAGTTCGTGCACCGACTCGATGGCCATGACCATTTCAGCAGCGTAGAAGCGCGTCGTTGTCTCGCTGAGCTTGTCTTCCTTGATGAGAAGCCCCATGAGGTCGCCGCCAGGAAGGTATTCCATGACCTAATTGTCTCGTAGTTGGCGAGAGGGCAACGAGGATGAGCAAAATACCATGTACAGGCGGTTCGTGTCCTGGAACGAGTACTGGAGCGTCACGAGCCATTGACATTCGTTGTCGGCCATGGCCAGAATGTCCCGCTCGGCGCGCACGTGGCCGACCTGGTTCTTCATGACCATCGAGCTCTTGAGCATGCTCTTGAGCGCAAACACCTCGCCCGTGTCCTTCTTGCGCACGAGGCGCACCTCGCCAAAGGCGCCGCGGCCCACGACGGCGAGCGACTGGAAGTCTTGGATCGTCAGGCGCTTGCGCTGCTGGCGCATCTGGTTGAGCTCTTGGTTGCGCAGCTCGGCGCGGTACGACTCCTTCGCCGGCTCTTCGAGCTTGAGGCTCTGCATCTTCTGCTCGAGAATGTTGCGCCGCATGCGGCTCTCCTCGCGCTCCTTCTTCATGATGGCGTACTTCTGCTCCAGGTAGGCCTTGGTCACGCTCGCCTTCTCTCGCGTCGTCGTGCTGATCTCTTCCATGCTTCTTCCACTCTGCGTTTCACGCCACCGTCGGTTGTCCGGATACGATGGCGATCGCGGCCGACGTTCAACCTATAAAACGTACTTGCGTTAAACGGCCCGGGCCTCAAAGCAAAGACGCAACGCGGACAATCGAGGCGCTAACGATATAGATGCAACCTAACACAACTGAAAGCGATGGGATTGGCGCGTGCTACGTCGCTTTTGTACTGTCACGGAGGGAATAACTTGCCAAGCGCTGGCTCACATAGTAAAACGCAGGGTAAAACATAGGTAAAACAACGTCAAACGGCCAGGCATCCGGATACGACACGTGGACGATCGAAATTTTGGCGACGTCCCCACCTTCCTGAAACCTCGTCGGCAACTCGACGACTCGCACTTCATAGCCCGCATCAACTAGTCATTGTGGAAAATATTGTCGATAAATTCTAGTTAGTTGGCTGCAACTAAAGTCTGCGGAGCGTCGGATCGTTCGCAAGTGACAGAGCTTGTGGCGACGCTTGGAGCCGACTAGGTCGTACGTACTGTACATGGACAGAGATTCAAAGGGTCAAACGATTAACGCAGGCTCTGGCCGGGCGTGCGGGCGTCGCTCCATCCAGCGCCACCAGAACGCGAGGCTTGTCGGCAGGAGAATCTCGAGGACCAAGTAGATGGGGTACGGCACGGGCGGCGTGGATCCCACGACCGGTGCGATCCAGAGACCGCGTCGATACGAGTCGCGCAAATGGTGGCTCAATAAGCACGCCTAAGGCGACGAATGAGGTCATCGCAGAGGTACACGCGTCGACGCAGCACCAGCACAAAGGCGACAGCGCGCACGCGGTGGGCCACGGGACACGTCCACCACGTCAGCAGCGCGATCGCTGCCACGAAGGCCACCGCGTGGCCAAACGGGCGTTCCTACAGACCCCATTTGAATCGATATCATCGTGCAGACGTGTGTCATACGCTGAGGGACGTGGCCGCGCGAAAGCTCCAGCCCGCGGCAACGATAAAGTGGTCGAGGTCGAGAAGACTGCCGGTGAAGAGCGCGGCGACGCCTTCGAGAGGTCGCAGCGAGAGGCGCGGGAAGGCCACGGTGCACGTGAGCGCCCATGAGAGGAGCGCGATCGTCGCATGCGCCGCATTGTCCACAAGTCCGTAGAAGATGCGCCAGTCGCTCCAGCACGCTCTACCTCGATGCATCTGGCGTCCATCCTCGCACCCGCATGCAGAAATCTCGTACCGGTGGTGCAGAAGCGAGTCGGACAAGAGGCAAATCGATAGCAGCAGCAGGCAGAGGCTGGTCGTCGACGCGTGGACCGGCCGGCTCGCCGCCCTGCGCGCGCGGTAGAGCGGGCTAGGCGCGCCATGAGAGGCCGCAGGAAGATGCGCTCGACTACCGTAGGACGAGCATCGCGTTGGCGGCGAAGCCCAAGGCCAGGAGCATGAGCGTGGCGACGACATGGCCGACGTCGTCGCAAGCAACCGGCCCAAGCATGTTTTCACATTGGTGTGGATTAGCCTTATTTGATTGGCGGTTGGGAAAGTATTTCAGCCAATCAAACAACCGAATTTGGTGGAATGCCACGCGGGACCGAGCTCTCGGTCGTCGAGCGGGCGTCCATCTTGGCCATGCGCGGGAATGGCATGAGCGAGCGCAAGGTAGACGACGACGCCATGAGCTACCTACGCATGAAGCGCGCCCATGGCTCGTAGATTGCGCAGGAGATGGGGCGCTGCGTGAGCTGCATCCGAGGCTTCCTCGCCCACCCGGACGCGTATTGCACCAAGAAGCGCATGGGCCGACCGCGGCGCCTCTCACCCGACGTCGAGCTACAGATCCTCGATGCTGCGTACAAGGACAACCTCACGGCGGCCGAGATCATTGCTCGGCTCAACCTCAACATTAGCGTGCGCCAGCTGCAGCGCCTGCTCCGGGAGAAGCGGCTCGAGCAGGAAGCCGCCGCCGCCATGGCGTCGCCGCCGACCGACCTATTCTTTGCGTCCGACGACGAAGCGTCGGCGAGCTCGATTGATGTTTTCTCGTTCATGCGGCGGCCCTTTGACGACGACGACGACGCCTTGTCCTGAGCCTCTGCACTTCCTGCCCGTCCTCCCACCGTCACCTCTGGTCATCGACGTTCCATGAACACACAGATCGAGCGCGTATGCAGCAAGGAATATATTGAAATCTTTGGACGTAAAAGAGTGCGGTGGCTGGGAATTGAACTGGGGCGCTCAATCCACTGCACCAGAATGGCCCTTGACCCTGTTTGTCAGGGATGCGTGTGGCCATCACTGTCCTCGAGCGGAAGGAATCCACTAGTAATGGAGCTAGGTCGCCGCTTCGAGTCCGCTGGCCCGCGAGCTTTTTGTCAGAGAGGTTGGAGACAGCGGCTCGAGCCGCCCGCCGTCGAGCCGCAGCACGACATCAAACGTCTCCAGTTGTTCAACCCGGTGCGTGACCAGCAGCACTGTGACGTGGGCCAAACTCAAAATCAAACTCAACACGCGGCGGTGCGCACGCGCGTCGACGTGCGCGGTGGCTTCGTCGCACACGAGAATGCGCACGTTCCGCAGCAATGCGCGGGCGAGTGCGAGCAGCTGGCGCTCCCCCGCGCCAAAGTTCGCGCACTCCACGCGCATCTCGAGGCTATCCACGCGGGTGTCCATACCGACACGGCGCAGCACCGCCCACATCTACACCATTATCTTTACGTTCGCGCGGTTGCGGTGCGCCATAGACGCCTACCTCGTCGTCCGAAACTTGCGACGTGGCGTCGGCGAGCGTCTCGCGAAGCGTCTCGCCAAGGAGCACTGCGTCCTGGGGCACAAAGCCCACGGCGGCCCGGAGCGCGTGGGGAGCTACTGCTGTACCACCAACGCGAACCTCGCCAGAGTCGACAGGATACAAGCCCAGAAGCACGTGCAGGAGCGACGACTTGCCGGCGCCCGTTCGACCCACGACCGCCGCCTTGGCACCAGGTGCCAACCTAAACGAGACACCGTCCAAGACGCGCGTGTGCGACCCGGGGTACGTCAAGCACAAGTTGTCGACCTGCAGATCACCATCCGCAATTCGCTCGGGGGCATGCCCCGGGGCGTCCGCATACGTCGGCATCGGTGTTGCTTGCTCTGTGAGCGCCACGACCCGATCGACCGAGACGGCTTCGAGCTCGATGGCAACGAGAAGCTTGAGTGCCCACCCGAGGCGCGCCGGAAGCTGCACAGCGTACGTGAGCACGAGACCGGTCGTCGTGGCCGACACCGAGTCGGCAAGAAACGTCGTGGCGACGCCTGCGCCAAGGACGACCAGAGCGCCGAGCCCTTCGAGCCACACGGTGACCCACTGCGTCGCGATCGTAGCAAGCCAGGACGCTTGGATGGCGACATCGATCTGCGCCTGGAACTGCGTTTGAAGCATGCGCATCAAGTCAAAGGCGTCGACAGAGCTGTGCCCTGCGATGGCCTGCCGCGCCCACGCCAACACGGGTGCCCGGGCAGCGCGCTCGAGACGCTGCAGCCGCCGACCAGGCCCGCGGTACAAGGCGTACAGTACGTAGTAGGGTCCAGTGAGTCCGACGACTGCGACGAGTGCGCTTGTCGGCGCGATAGACGCGAGTGCGAGCACCGCAGCGCCGACCTGGAGCGCGTACGCAGCAAAGTTGGCGAGGACGCTGGGAAGGGCTTCGTCGATCGCGCCAACGTCTTTGGTGCACCGGTTGAGGATGCTGCTGGACGATCGCTGCTCGAAGAATGCCATGGACGCGTGTACAAGGTGGTGCAGCAGCGTCGCATGCAGCCGCGCGGCGCCCCGGAGCGCGAGGTCGACAAACCACAGCCGGTGCGTCGAGGCGACGACGCACGTGGCAACACTGACGCCAACGGTCGTCCACGGCGTCCCCTTGGTCGTTGCCCACGTAGCGAGGACGTACGTGCCACTGACGAGGCCGATGTGCTCGGCCACAAGCAGCACCAAGTAGCCGCCGAGCCAAGGTATCTGGCTCAGGTAAGCGCGCCACACTGCCTGGTAGCTCGATCCAGAGACTGCTGCGTCGTCGTCCACGTCCGTGATCAGTGTCGGCGGTGACAATGCCTCGGTGGTCGGTGCGTCGGCGTCCAACGTCAGCATGCTCTCGGTCGCTGGCGACACCGCGTGTTCTATGTCAACACGAGAAATGACTACGAACGATCGATGAAAGGTTGTACCCCTCGATGCGTGAATGGCCGTGACGCCGCGCATGGCCACGGGCTCGAAGTGGAGGCGCAGAAATGGAACCGACGGACGCAACGTCGGGGGCGCCACGAGGACTTTGGTCAATGGCACGAGCGCAGGGTGGTGCAACAGTTGCTGCCACACGTGGCGTGCGACAACTGGGTCCAAGCTCGCAAAGACATTGTCGACGAGTAGAATGTCGTGTCGGGCGTAGACCGCACGCGCTACATTGATTTCATAAGCAACTCGAACAACATAGCGACGCGGACCAAGAGAGACGCGCTGCTTTTGACCTCCCGAGAGCGCAGCGCCACGGTCGCCGGCGCGAAAGGCGTCGCCGTCGGGCCACGCGGCAATGTCGGCGCCCAGTGCGCAAATGCCCAGCGTCGCTTGATACCACGACCAATCTAGTCGCTTCCCGCAAAGAATGTTGGCGCGGATCGAGGTATCCAGTATCCACGGGTTCTACACCGCTCGCCCGTTCGTATTTTACGATCGACGCTTCCAACGTACCTGCGGGCAGTACGCCATTGAGCCAGCGACACGCAAGGCGCCGGTAACGACGGTCGGTAAGCGTAGCAGCGTCGCCAGAAAGGTCGACTTGCCACAGCCCATGGGTCCATCGCAGAGAGCCACTGCGCCCCGACTTAGCGAGAGCGAGACGTTTTGAAACACGGGCGGGGGCCCGTACGTCCAGAGACTCGCGACGTCTCGGAGCTCGATGCTACCGGCCTCGAGACGAGGTTCTTTGGTCGACGACGTCGACCGCTCGTCGGCTGCGAAGAAGCGCTCGAGACGCTGGAGGGACACGCGCGCGTCAATGACCTTTGTGAGGATCTGCGGCAGCCGCTGGAGCGGCCCCGCTGCAATGCCAAACCAGGCAATGGCAGCAAACACTTGCGACGGCGGCAACTTTCGGATGCAAGCAAACGTAGCCATCGGTGCCAGCAGCTGAAGACACGCAACAGCGCTCACGTTGATCGCGTGCCAGCGCTGCTTGGTGCGAAGTGCCGCAAGCTCTTCATTCCGCGCGGCGCGTGTGGACGCGAGCACGGTGGCTTCGTACGCACAGCCGTGGAGCGTTGTGGGAGCCGCAAGAAAGGACGCTGTGCGCTGCAGTCGACGATCGCGGCTCGCAAGGTGGGCCCGACTTGCAGCTTTCAAGCGTCGGCTCAAGAAGACTGCCAGCGGGATATAGAGCAGCTGGAGACCGAGCCAGAGCCACACGGCGGGACCGAGAAGCTGCAGCAGCGCGAGCAAGGCAATACTGAGCGCGAGGCCGCCGCTCCACGTGTCCCAGTGCATTGCGCAGACAACCGACGCGTCGGCAATCTTGCAGGCGTCAGTCGCAAGCATGTTGGTGAGAGCGCCGTCGTCGTACGTGACGCGGGCAGCGGCACTGAGCCGAAGGGCTTTGTGTAGCACGAGCTGCTGCAGTAGCGAGCGCGTCTGAAGGCCGCAGCGCACGGCGACGGCCCAAAACTGATGCTCAAAGATCGACTTGGTCATGATCGCCGCATAGAGCCCGAGGGACCAGAGCAGCCCGCTCACAATGCGCGCCTCGCTCGAGTGCGGCGTCGGGTCGGAGAGCACGCGCAGGAGACGCTCCAGCGCATACGGCGTCAGAACGTTGCCTGTCGTCGACACGAAGAGCAAGGCGCCAGCACAGTAGAACGACCAGCCGCAGGTCGCATGGAGGTGCCGAAGAAGCGATGCACGTGGCCGACGGCGCACGCTGTCTTCGTATCGCAATTGGATGACGCTGGCGCTGTCGTCCGAGCGCACGGCTGGCAAGTCGTCGAGGCCGAGCGGCTGCGGCTGGCGGAGGAGGGGCCAAATCCACGTAAAGAAAAGCTTGCTCATGACGGACGCGTCGCCTTCGGGCGTCGCGGTGTGAATGGCGGCTACTTGTGTGGCGAGGTAGCAGGCGACGACGGCCTTGAGAAGCATGATTGTCGTATCTGCGATCAATGCCAAATCGTGTGCGGCAAGCACGAGCGGTCGCTGGCGCTGGAGCACGACCGGCGTCACGGCGAGCAGTCGCGCGAGCGCATCGAGGAAAAAGAGATGGCAAAAGGCGTGGACTCGGTGTGGATAGACGCACAGCACGATACCTATACAGTTGGCCGATCGAAAAGAGTCTTTGACAAAGCATTGTGGTCGTACTGGTGTGCAGGCCTTCGACGAGACAGAGCGTCCCGGCAGCCACGTGACTGGGGCTTAGCGCCACCGGAGACGCGACAAAGTAGACGCCATATGCAGCGTTGAGGAGGCTGGCGGCCACGACAGCGTACGCAATGTGTGGCGGCATCGATGATGGGCGGCGAGCCGTGTGGCCAACATACGCGCCGAGCCCGAGGAGCCCAAACTTCCAGACGCTGGCGATGCACAGCGACGTTGTCGCGCAGGGACCGAGGCGAAGCGGCACAAGGAGCACGTCGGTGTCAACGCGCCAGAGCCACGTGGGCTGGTTGCCACACCACCAGCGCAGCGGCTCCATCGTGCAAGATACCGGCCAAGTGCAAACCTCTTGAATCCGATGCGATGGATATCAATTGTCAGAGGTTCTTATTGACACGCAAGATTTCTTAGCCGGATTTACCGGGCTAACCGCGGCGTCCATAGACGAGCCGCCACCAGCGACGACAGAGACCCATCCAGAGATGGCGCAGAGACTCTGGTGCGGCGGCCATAAGCACGGTGCTAAAGAGCCAACTGTTGCCGCCGCAGGCCAACCAGGCGGCGAGAACGAGGCGCATATCTTGTGCGTGACGCAGGCGCATCGTGAGGGTAGCATTGCGAGTCGCGAGCGCGTGAACCAGCATCGTCACCACTTGCATGGCCTTGGTTTGCGCGGCTTTCTGGTTGGCGCGGGTCTTGGCAGTGCGGATGGCTTCTGCTGCGATGGCCATGTCCATGCGCGCCAAATCGGCGGTCGCGCGCTTCTGACAGAAATCGAGCGACGCGGCCAGCGCAGCCATTGTCGTCTCTGAGTCGCAGACGACATCTTCGTGCTCGGAGCGGTCGTGGCTGCAGCTTTGATGGCCCACCGGGCCCTTGCTAACGAGGAGCGTGTCGGCCGCGTCCTTCTCAGCAAGGAGAGCGCGGCGATGGCGATCGAGAAGCGTGTTGAGCACACCCATGAAGTCGAGCATGGTTGAGATCGTGCGTGGCGACAGCATCTTGGGCTGATGGTGCTGCTTGCTAAATGCTCGAAAGCGAGTCTTTTTCATAGTCGTTTTTACGTTCGACTTGTAAAGGTTACGAGGGAGAAGGGCACAGGAAAGGGTGGTCGGTGCTGGGTTCTCTGAGGCTGAGCAGCGTCACTGTGTGGTGCGCTGATCCCGACGCTGCAACAGAGCAAACACGCAGAGCGAAGCCACCTTCTGCGCTGGCGAGACCGCGTACTCTGAGCCTGTTTGGAGACGTCCCTCTTGCTGCTGACCAAACGCCACGGTTTGTCCAATACTAGCTTCATGCTCGACGCTGTCGCCACTCGAAAGGCAACGATCTTTCTTTCTATTAGCAATTAACTTATTGTCCATCGAATCGCGTGCAATATTGTCATCTGACAATATGACAATCAGGTCCCGGTGCCCGACTTTCGCATATTTGGTAGTAGCTCCATCTGGGGTTGCCATACGCACTGCGAGAGGGATCGAGACGCCGAGAGATGCAACAAGAGATGGCCCGCTGCTGCGGTGACCGCGTAGAATGAGGTATGCGACGCTCCATATCGCGATGAGATGATGATGAACCAAGCGGTTGCCATCCCACAAGGCGGGTACGACAACACGAAGGAGATCCAGCCACGTGCAAGCAAGAACGACGAGGAGAACGAGATCGCAGCCACAAGACCAATTCGGCTACATGCAAGAAGGTTGCATCATTTACACCAGCCAAGCGAGTGAGTTAGCGCAGACAGACTCGAAGGCCAAAGAGACAAAGTGAAGTGGTCGATCACCAGCGGTCACGCGATCGGACGGCAGGCGATTGGTCCCGCGCGCGCGGCGAGACGGGTCGGCGCAGCGGCGACGCGACGCGAGGTGCGTAGTCGTGGCTGCGGGCCACCACTTCGACGCGGGTCCGGGGCGACCGCGACCGCCGACGAGGAGACGGCTCACGGTAGCGCACGGGCGACAGCTCCCGACGGCGTGGCGAGGGCTCGCGGTACCGCACCGGCGACAGCTCTCGGCGGCGAGGCGACGGCTCGCGGCGACGGGGGGACAGCTCGCGGCGACGGGGCGACGGCGTCCGGGGTCGTCGAGCCTCGTAAGCGTCTGCGCGCGGTCGTCGGTCGTCATAAGCGTCGACCCGCGACCGGCGATCATCGTACGCCTCGACACGAGGACGGCGGTCGTCAGCGTACGCGTCATAGCGCGGACGAGGCTCGTCATACGCGTCCGTCCGCGGACGGCGGTCGTCCTGCATGTCACTGCTGCGGGTGCGGCGGTCGTCGTAGGCGTCGTGGCGAGGGCGGCGGTCTTCGAGCGCATCGTGGCGAGGACGGCGGTCTTCGAGCGCATCGTGGCGAGGACGGCGGTCTTCGAGCGCATCGTGGCGAGGACGGCGATCTTCAAGCGAATCGTGGCGCGGCCGGCGGTCGTCGACAGCCTCGTAACGCGGCCGGCGATCTTCAAGCGACCCGGCGCGCGGCCGGCGGTCGTCGTACGCATCTTTCCGAGCATACCGGTCGTCGTCGTCGCGCCGGCGCTCCACCACACTCGTCGCGTCGGGCGCCGGGCGATTGTCAACGCCGCTACACGATGCGTGAGCTACAACATCTCATAGCACAAGAGAGCCTACCGGCGGTGGCTAAAGTCCGTGCGGAGCTCGCGGCCCTCAAACACCAGGCGCTTCTCCATGGCCCGGTCCGCACTCGTATCGTCCACAAAGTCAACAAAGGCTGAGATGCCGACGTTGCCATTGCGCTGGGGCAGCACCTTGATCTGTTCGACTACATGCGATGCCATATCAGTCGTCAAGCCATGGCAAGTGGCATCTACCTCGGCCAAACTTCTCGAAAAAGTCGTGGAGCTTGTCGAGCGTCGTGTCGGGCACGATGTTGCCGACAAAGAGGCTATTGCAGCGCGTGCTGCGGGGAAGCTCGCGCCGGCGGTCGTCGCCGCGGCTGCGGTCCGGGTTGGTGTGGGCGCGCGAGAGCTTCATGTCCTTTCCAAAGAGCGTGTGCATGTGGAGCGTGCGAATGGCCTCGTCCGCGTCCGCATCGTTGGCAAACTCGACAAACGCAAAGCCGAGCTTGATGACGACCGAGAGGACCTTACCGCACTACGCACATAGCCATGTCAACCTCGCCTTGTCGTGGCGCATCTTGCATGTACCTTCTCGAAGAGCGCGCGGAGGTCGCCTTCCCGCGCCTCGTTGCTGTTGAGGTTCCCGACGAAGATCTTGGCCATCGGCGTCTACTTTGCGAATGACCACGCACCGTTTTTCGAACGACCGCGAGGTTTCGATAATATTAAATCGAACATCGTATCTTTTTTTTCAAGAGGCATACAAATAGCAAGCTATAAAAACAATCGAGCTCGCAAAACGCATGTTTTATTACAATCGCCGTGGCGTTGGCACCACTCAATCCAAGTATACTATACCCAAGCCAAGTGGTTTGCGCGATTATTGCACGGAAATAGTGTCATCGGAGAATGGCGATCTTGCAGTTGAAGCGGTTGAAGCCGACGAACGATTCGTCGGATGTCGGAATAACGTCGTCTAATGGACAGATTATAGTGTCTTCAACGGATACCTTGTCGTCGTAGGACGTACAGATTGTTGTTGTTGTGTGGCTCGCTGGCCGGGAAGCCGATGAAGAGGGGAGCCGTGCTGCTGCGGGGTTTCTCCGCCTTGTTTATAGTTCAAACGATCGAGTCCGTTATCCACGTAGTACGAAAACCGCAGCGTCTTCTGTATACTAAGACACTTGGATAACTTCATTGATTTTGAGTTAGGCCATGTACGCCGGAGCCGATGGCGCCATCGGATCGCCACAGTCTTTTGCGACGGGTACTGCAAATGGCACCGCTTGATACCACGTGTCCTTGGCGCGGCCGTCCGAGATGCTCGTCGCCTGACCAATCGACCCGTACAAGTGCCAGCCACGTTCCTCGAGCGCGGCCAAGAGGTAGAGCAGAACGATGCATGCGCTGTCGTCGTCGCTCATATTGCTCATGCCGCTAAAGCCCCACGGACTCTCTCGAAACTTGAGCTCAGTGCAGTGCAGTCCGGCACGTAGTCGAGCGTCTTGCGATGCAGTCCTGGCGGCCGGCCAGTGGTGCGCAATGAGCTGCTCAACCACGGTTTGGAGCTCGACAGGCGCGCGCAGCAAGTGGAGGAGGTCGCTCGCGTTGGTCGAGATCGCAAACATCGTTGGCGACTCTTCAGGAAGATCAAAGCTGAAAACGAGCGTGTCGCGCGTGCGCTCCGAGTTGGAGACGTCGCTGGACGAGTGAAGGGTGTAGCCGTGGCGCTTGAGCGCTAAGAGGATCTCGAGCACAAGAAAGCGCGATAATCGCGACCCTTTGGCGCCCACGGAGTCCCGCTGAGCTTGATCTCAAAGCAATGCGGGTGCGCCTTGGCGGCCGAGATGCCGTCGGGCTACGGGCGCAGGATCGCTTGGGTGTCCAGTCTTTGGCTTCGGGCGGAAAGCCGATGAGGCGCAGTTGATCGAACCGCATGAACGCGAGGCAAGCAAACGTCGTCATGATGTTGACAATTGGGAACTGGCTTTTGGAAGCAGCCGCAGATGATTTAACAAAAGGCCAGAGTTGAAGCGCAGGAGCAGCCGGACACGGGAGCCCAATGAAAGAGTGAAGAGTATCTTGGGCGGATCATGCTGAAGAACTTTGCACTGTATGATACAAGTCCTGTACACATATACTATGGCAAGACTACCGGTATGTCCAACGAGAACTGCAGTGAGCGTCTGACAGCAGGCTTGCACGCAGGCGGTATCATGGACGACATACCAGTCTCTCGCAGGACACCACTGGAGCGGTTGCGAAGAGCTGTCCCAATAGAGCTACAGTCAACCGTAAACCGACACCGGCTCCACCGCATTGCGGTGGTTCGATAGACTAAGAGAAACGACCTTGTTGCAGCGCGTCGAGAGGTTTGTTGTGAGGTGGACTGATCCACACGTGGCTAAAGTCACGTGAATTTAGACACTGGGGCTAGAGAGATACCCTGGCACGCGAGTCTGCCTCGTAGATTCTTCGTCGCGATTGGGCGCTTATGCACTTCTGGCCGGTAAATACATGTCCATGTATGCGAGTAGGGCGATAGTTGATAGAATATGCCAAAGAGCATGTTCATTGCCGTCGTACAGCCATGATAGGAAAGTTGCGTTGGTTTAGACAGCCTAATATCCTTCAAGAACACATACACTCGCGACCCATCGCTTCTCCGAGGTTTATCCGGTGCGTGGCCCCCAAATTGCGTGGAAGACAAGAACAGCAGCATGGCGTCGATGGCATCGCAGGGACGACGCGGCAACGTACGTGGCCTCTCAACGAGCCGCTTGCTCGTAGCTCATGGACTGTCTAGGCGCGCCTCCCGCCGGAGGTCAACCGCGTTCTCTACGTGCGCAACCTCCCGTTCAAGATCTCGAGCGACGAGATGTACGATATCTTTGGCAAGTACGGTGCGATCCGCCAGATTCGCCTCGGTACGCAGCGCCGCCCATCCACACTGCATGGACGCTCACAAGGCCATGGCTAGGCGTCAATGCGGACACGCGCGGGACGGCCTTTGTCGTGTACGAAGATATTTATGACGCCAAGAACGCTGTACGGTCCCGCCCCATTCTCGTCTCGCCGATGCTCATAGCCTGTGTAGGTCGACCACTTGTCGGGCTTCAACGTCTGCGGTCGCTACCTCGTCGTGCTCTACTACCAGGCGAACCGCGTCAGCAAGAAGATGGACGTCCAGGCCAAGCAGCAGGAGCTCGCAGAACTCAAGGCGCGTTATGGCGTGTAATCAGGATCCGATGCATTCATCTCGTCAGTGTTATGTGGCGCTACCCTCGGCAGCACCCATGGCTTTGAGGAGACCTTCCGGCGTTGGGGCCACAGCAACAGCGTCGGCGTTCCACGTCGCATCATTCGTTTCGTTGGCGACCTTGGCGAGCGCTGCCGCCGTCGTCTTGCCTACCACATTGATTGCATGAGCATCGCCAGAGCAGACATTGCATACCAATCGCCGCCTTCTTGATGGTCGTCCAGTCCACATGAAGCATGGCGCGGGCCGTGTGCACTCCGCTGGGACTGAAAAAGATTACCCACGCTGGCGTCGCTGCATTAGGCGACGCAAAGTAGTCGATACTCGAGACGGATGCAGAGACGTAGACGATGAGTTCTTCGAGGACCTGGTTGCGGGCCCGAAAGCTTGTGGGCAGCGCATCATGGTGCTTCTCGCCGCAGAGAAATAGCGTCGGCTTGGTCGACGTCGGGTCTTGTACTGACGCAATGTGTGCGGCAAGGACGTCACCCGAGCCCGAGGCCTCGCCGCTGCACGTCACGCCCAAGGCGGTAAGCGGCGCTGAAGTTTTTTGCCCCACGGAAAAGACGGGTAGCGTCTGCAGCTGTGCCAGCACGTGCGCTCGCTCGGCGTCGTCCATGGCCATCAAGGCTTCGACGATGGCCTCGGACGAGCGCGGGCTCGTGATGATGAGGCCGTCGTACGAGGCGAGCGACCGCAGGCGCTGCCATCAAGAGCCATCATCCACTGATGGCATGGGCGTGGGGACGTACCTCGCGCAGGACGTCGCGGTTGCGCGCCTCAAAGGACAGTACGTCGGAGAAGGCGGCGGCGAGCCCCGCGGCCGCAAAGGCCGTCGTGTACGTGGCGTCGACCGACTTGAGCAAGAGCGCAATGGGGGCCATGAGCCTTTCAGGAGTGGATGTCATTTTGTATCTAGGTTATTAGATGCGGCATCTGCCACGCTATTTTGGCCATCGTGCCGAAAATAAAGCAAGGAAGCTGCCACGCTGCCACGTGCTTGTTGCTGCGGCTAGCGACAGATCTTGATCGTCTACTCGTACGTGCAGCGCAATTCGAAGCGCACGTCGTGTTACGCTCTACACTATCAAGTGTAATCAGTCGCGCGCTTGGGCGTAGCGCGCAGAGCTCTTACACTGCACGCCTGCGTCCGGCCTGACGTCGTGATCTCCCTTTGACATGCAGTTGTAGTGTTTCTGCGTGCACCGTCTTTGGCTTTGGATCATCTTTATCTGGAGCTGGCGCATGCTCGAATGCTCGAGTGCTATTCGGGCGTAGTCATCCAGTCGCGCTAACAAAACAGGGTCGGCACCACGGACCAAATACAGTGCACGGGCTCGTGTCGGCTCGTGTCGGCTTGTTGAGACTGTGTTGGCGCCGCAGACGAACGCAACACTCTAGTATTCGTTCCAGTAGATCGGATGACGTCGGCGTCGTCGTCGCATTCCACACTCGCACACCCGTCGTCACGCTGCTACGCGTGCGCTGTCGCGGCTTCTACTGGCTGCATCGTGGCTTCCGTCGATCGTCTCGCACTGATATTCACACGGTAGTGCGGTTGGGCTCATGTTGGCTTGGTGTCCAAATGAACTCTGCTGCGGTGCCATCATCACAAGGCGAAAGGCTTGTAGTTATTGGAAGCAATCAATAGTTAATAAGTGGGCAACTAGAGCGTTAATGACCGGCGGTCGTTGAGGCTCGACGTCGCGCTGCTCGCAAACGAGTCTTCGCGCACAGAGCTCGTGAACGATTCGTTCGAGAACGAGTCCTTCCAGAGCACGTTGTCGGTCGTCGGCCGCTCTGACATCATGAGGTCGTCAGTGCGACCGGTCTCCATCGCACTCATCCAGAGCGCTGTGCTGTGCGGGTCCCCCGTCGACTCGGAGATCTGATCGCTGTACGTGCCAAACTGCGCCGGCGACGGCTGCACGTGCGCATCGCCGTAGACAAAGCCGGGAGGCGACTCGTGCCGGGCCTGGTACTGCGGCACCTGCATCTGCTGCTGCTGCGCATATGCGTTGGGCGAGTAGAGAGGCGCTTGCGACTGCATGAGGCGGTTGGTGTCCATGGCCATCATCTGACGCGAGTCCAGAGCGCTGTGCTGGGGCGACGTCACGCGCTGCGGCGGCGGCTGGATGTACGTAAGCTTGAGCGGCGAGATGATGTCTTCTTCCATGTACTTGGTCTTCTTCCGGAGCACGACGCAGACGATGAAGACACCCGCAATGGCCGCGACCGCCACGATACCCACGATTACGAGGATCGTCGTCGTCTTGGATTCGTCGGCGTTGGCCGCACCGTTGTTGGCGTTCGCCGTGTCGGGCGACGATGTCGGCTTCTTGGTCGTCTTGGTCGGCGTCGGCGTCACGGTCTCCGTCACCGGCGCTTGCGTCGGCGCATCCGTCACCGGCTGCGGCGCAGCAGTTGGCGCAGGCGCGACCGTAGCCGACTGCACGGCCGTCGTCGGCGGCACCGTTGTCTTGGGTGCGACGGTCACAGGCGCCGCCGTGGTCTTCGGAACCGATGTGGTGGAGGGGGCGATCGTCGGCGCGACAGTCGTCGGCGCAATCGTCGGGGCGTCAGTGGGTACCGGTGTCGGTGCCGGCGTCGGCGCAGGCGTCGGTGCAGGCGTCGGTGCGAGTGTCGGCGCCAGTGTCGGTCGAACAGTCGGTGCCAACGTTATCGGCACCATCGTGGGCTCCGGCGTCGGAACTTTGGTCACATCTGACGGCGCCGGGACCGACGTCGCGTTCTCAGCGACGGCAACCGCCGCAAGAAGCGCAGCGACGACGTGCAGCAGTCGGCGGCTCATTGGACTGCAGCGGATGAAAAATGGAAATGAGCCATCGCTGCCCGCAGGTGCATATGGCGCTCGTGTGACACGGCAAACGAACCCAACGAGAGGGGGTACCCCACAAAATACCCAAACATGGAAGGTCCCATCACCTACCTCAACCTCCCGGCGACTGACGTGGAGAGGTTTGATCAGATCGCGATGCATGACGACTCGTCTGGCGACCGCGAGCATCGCATCCGCAGTGTTGTCTCCGTCGACGCCAACACAATCACCGCCTCCAATGTGGCGTGTCATCAGCTCACCTCCAGTGCGCCTTCGCCATAGAGATGCGTCCTGGTATCGAGACGATGTGCAGTGCATCCACGACACCTACTAGGACCCATCGGGACCGACCAACCTCGCACGACAACTTGTGTATACCGTACTAAAGCGCCGAGATGCACCTCTTCGTAGCTACTTTTGAATGATCGGGTTCCATGGCGAGCTTTTTACGAGGGCCCACCCCCTTTTGGTAGGGTACCTCGATACGGAAGGATTCGAAGAGCAATGTCGTAACGCGGCGACGCCGTTGCCTCCTGGCATCGACGAACGCAGGTGGTACCTGCTCGGTGGCGTTGCATCGAGCGACGAGCGGCGAGCGGCGGCAGCACATGGCCGTTGATCCTGTGACGAAGATGGCGCACCGCTGTCGCAAGCGTCAACCCACTGCACCTCGAAACGAGAATTCGCCAAAGAGCTAGAGACCCCAGTGGGTTAGGAAATCGGTCTTGGCGCGTCATCCGTGTGGACTGCAATAAGTATTACCAAGTGGACGATGTCGAAGGACCGGCCCTCGCAGGACACTGCGCCTTTCTTCGGGCCAGCACCAAGTGTCGACGTTGTTTCTTCCTCGTCCCCCATGAGTCATGAGTCGCCCTGTATACTTGGCCTCGACATGGCGTCTTGTCGACGAGTTCTGGCAGCGGTGGCAACACACAACCGCACGTTCGTAGTATCATCCTCGATGCAGCGCCATGATTATGCTCCCGAACCATGGCGCCAGGCGTGAGACCGCCTTTGACCTCGTTCAAGAAGGTCTGTCAGACACGGCGCCGTGTCGGCGAGCGCTACTGCAGTGTCGCTTCGTTGCAGCCGAACGATGATAATGATGCAGTCAGTAATCAACGATGCCAGACATGCTGCAGAGTATAATTGCAGGGTGCGGCTTCATGGCATCTCGTGGCACGCTACGTCATGATGCCTACCAACGCAGCCGCGCACAAGACTAGTGCGCTTGGGCCTGTCCCTATCGTCGACCCTGTCTTTGACGCTCCTGCGCGCTTGTCGACGGCGACATGCCTGCGTTCGATGCTGCATCCACGTCGTCCAAAGCCTCATCCTGGCTATGGCGCAAGACTGCACAAAGCATCATTCCGTTCATTTGGACACATGGAGGCTCGCGGCGCTGGCTTAGTGCTGGGCCTTCTTGGCGTTCTTCTCAATGTTCTGCAAATACTACACACAGCATGCACTTAGCCATCGATCCAGGGGTCATTCCGGATACGTACTTGGAGGCCTTCGCGGCGCGAGTTCCACTCGGCGAGCGGGCCCGTGGTGACAGCGACGCCCGCGACGACGAGGCCACCGACAGTGATCAGCTTGGTAAAGGTCTTCATCGCACTTGCGTCTTTCTCCGTTTGCCACCACAAAAATCCGCCCAAACCGATTGGTGCTTCTAGCTGTTCTTCAAACGAGGTTTCCTTCGGCCAATCCAATCTTTTAGCCTTTTTATCAGCAAAATGTTTCGAAAAAACGTGACGTTTTACTCATGGCCACCTTGGCCAGCTTTGCGCTCGCCACTGCGTTGCTGCGTCTTCGGAGCGATGTCACCGCGTCTTACGTCTAGTTACGTCATTATCCAAGCGCTTACCCCTCGCTTGTGGTCGGGATCGTTGATTCGGACCAGATGGGTTAAAGTACCCTAAAACGCGCTCTTTAACGCATTTCGGTGTGCTGGTCAAAACCAAGTTGCACCACTCGAAGCCACGATGCTGATGCAACTGCGCCGAGGGCTCCTGCCGCGCCACCGCCACGTCTTCGCCCATGGCGCGCGGTCCATCTCGGGCCTGCGTGTGCTCTTCTTTGGCACGGACAACGTGTCGCTGCCGACGCTCGAGCTGCTGCATGCGCACATGTCGTTGCCATCGTGATCCATGCCATGACGGCTCATGGCACGCGTAGGCAGTCGACGAGTGATGCGCCACCGCTCGTGCGCGAGATTGAGGTACGCAGCTCAGCTTTTTCATCGAGCTTGACGCATCGGATGCAGGTCATCTGCCCACCGGACCGCAAGATGGCGCGGAAGCGCACGAAGGCGCCAGTGCCGGTCAAGCAGTTTGCGCTCGCAAACAACTTGGCCGTGCACCACATTCCCGACGGCGTGTGCGCCAAAGCGCTACGTCCATCGCTGTCTGAAGCTCTGCGTCGATAGGAAGAGCTTGAAGGACTGGACGATGCCGGTGACCAAGGACTTTGACGTTGGCGTCGTTGTCTCTTTCGGCTACTTCCTCGTACGTCACCGCAGTCTCGTCCACGCGAGTACACGACATCGATGTAGCATCCGCACATGCTCGAGCACGTCAAGCACGGCGCCATCAACATGCACCCGTCGCTCTTGCCCAAGGTCCGCTCGATCACTCCGTCTGCACTTGAAACCTTGATAGTATCGCGGCCCGGCGCCGATTCCGCGCACGCTCTGGCACGGCGACGCGGTCACGGGCGTCTCGGTCATCGAGATCGATCCCACGTCTGTCGAAATACTTGCAGCGTCATGTCGCTCATTCATACTACTATATAGGGCCTTTGACGTTGGGCGTATTTTGGACCAGACCACCATGGACGTGCCGCCAGCGTCGACCTTCCACAGGTATAATTTGGGTTTCGAAAAAGTCCAAGTGGACAATCTGTCTTATCTAGTCTTTCCGACGTCTTGGCGCGTGCGGGCGCGCAGCGTGTCATTGAAACCCTCCGCGACTTGCCGGCCAAGAAGGCGTCGGCCGTCGTGCAAGACGAAGCGCTTGCGACCAAAGCACCGAAAATGAAGCGCGACGTACGTTATGGCTTCGAGTCCAAGTGTCTTGACGAGCGTCGTAGCATGGGCTTGTGGCGTGGACCGAAACAGCGCAGCGGCTCTACTGCGTACGTCCTCACTTGCATACCCCAAGGCTCATTTCGGATCGACTAGATGTGGCAAGCGGTCGGCGAGACCTTTGGCGTCCTCGCCTCGTTCCAAGGCGTGCCCGTCAAGCTGCTCGAGATGCGACTGCCGACGGCCGACGACCGGGCGTCCAGTACGACCATTCTACATCGTGTACTATCGCAGCGGGACGGACTAGTGATGGTGTTCTAGTTGCTGCGGTCGAGGACGCAACGGCGATGCCGACGGGGTCGTGCTACTTTGACAAAAGTCTCCAGGCGCTTGTCGTCAAGTGCGTTGACGACGTTGTCCTTGTGACCAAGCTCCAAGCTGAGAACCGCAACCCGGGCCGCGCGATCGACTTTGCCAACGGCCACCGGATGAAGCCCCGCGCGGTCCGCAGCTTTGACTTGCCCTGATTTTGTGATCTCAGCTGCTGGCGCCCGCAATACGACTCGAAACACAGTGCAGTTGTCCTCACACACACACACAGTTTGTTAAAAAATGGCGGCGTTTACATGATGCCACAGCTCGACGGAATGATGTTGTCACTCTCAATGAGGAGGCGCTCGACGCTGGCTTCGTGCACGTAACAGAGCGTCTTTAGCGCCTTCTCGAGCGCCACGACGTACACGTGATCTGACCGGCGGTACGAACGCACGCGGCCCTTCCCGAACGGCGTGCCCACCCAGTCGCCAATCACCGCCTTCATCTCGCCGTAGACGTCCTTGGCCTGCACGTAGCCATGGGTCCCGTCGCGCCACGAGATGACGTGGACGCCGTCGCTCGACCGGACGCCAAAGAGCACGCCAGGACCAAACACCGTGCTCACAGGCAGCCCAATGCGCCCGTGGACGGGAAAATGGACGCTGGGGTCGGCGTCGCTCGCGACAAACGCACTGCCGTCGTCGTCCAGTTGCACAGAGTCGGACGCGCGCGCGAGCTTGAACGCGTCCTTGCGGGCGTCGGTCGTCGGCGCCTCGACGTCCGGCACCGGCTCCGACTCGTAGTACCGCCGGAAAAACGTCAGCGTATCGATAAGGCTGTACTTGCGCGTGTTGACTTCACGCTCCGTGAGCGACGGCGTCTGAACAAACGCGTTGACACCACTTAGCGCCGGATCGCTCAACGTGATGCGGAGCACATGGTCGCTGTGATGCGAGATGACACGTCCAGGGCCAAACGGCGTCTCGACCGGTGCGTCGGCCTTGAGGTCCAAGGTCGGGGGCTCGAGGCTCGGCGCCGCATTCGTCGAGAGCGCAGGCGACGCCTTGGGCTTGACAAAAGTCGAGAAGCGGTCAAAGAGGCCGATGCTGGACGACGGCGCCTTGGGCTCAGGCGTCTTGATGACGTCCGACGCCTGAAAGTAGCCAATCACGCCGTGGGCAAAGCGCAGCTCGTACGTCGCGTCACGAGACCGGTACCGCAGCACGGTCGCATGTCCAAACCAAGTGGTGACGGCCGTGTGCTTGGGCAAGACCGGCTTGTCCTTGGTCGTATTTGAGCTTGAAAACGAGAGCAGCGAAAAGAGACCGGACGACCGCGGCGGCGCCGAGAGGACGAGCGAGAGCGCGTCTTCTTGCACCGACACGACCGTGTCTCGGAGTGATGACGCGTCCAACCGCACCGAGTAGACGTGGTGCGGCAACGCCGTTAGCACAACCGCCTGGCCAAACGGCGTGTGCACGCGCGCGCCCTTGGGGAAGCGCGGGGGCGGCGACGGCGGCTGCTTGGTGCCAAACTGGCGCTGAAATGCCTTGGTGAAAAACTCGAGCGACGAGCGGACAAACCCGGTCGCGGGCAGCGGCGGCTCGACGTCCGAGATCTGCGAGATCGTCGACGGGTGGCAATAAGCGTGGGCGACGCCGTGCTTGAAGAGATGGACCTCGTAGATCTCGTCGGGCCGGTACCGGACCACGCGCCCAGGCCCAAACGTCGTCTGCACCGACGTATCCGGGGGAAAGACCCCTTGCAATAGCAAGAGCGGGTCCATGACCGTCACAAAGTTTGTCTTGACATACGCAAGGGGGTTCCCGCTCGGGTTGCTGGGCTTGGCGGCCGACGACGAAAAGTCGTTGTGGCCTTTCGTAACTTTGGTTGTCGAGAGCGACGCCTCCGGGAGGTACACGCGCGCCGTGTCCTTCGTCTTGAGCCACCACTCGGTCAAATTGAGCGTGTATATGCCCGTGATGCCGTCGTACGCAAGGATCGAGCCCTTGCCAAACGGCGTGTAGAGCACCGTGTTGAGGCCAAAGCGTTGGGGCTTCTCGACCAACGGCACGTGCGGAGCGCCAAGGAGCTCGTTGGCGAGCGAGAGGTCATAGTTGATCTTCTCGCGCTGCGCGTCCCGGGCCGCCGACGTCTTGAACGCAATCGCAATGAAGCCGGCGCGGGCGTCGTCGCAGATTTGCCGGAGCCCGCCGGTCGAGATCTGCTGGAGGCGGCACGCGTGGACGGCCGCGCCGACGTACGTGTCGAAGAAGATGATGTTGAGCTTCTTGTACGTGGCCTTGTCGACAAACCCAAACGTGCGCTCGATGGGCTGCACCAAGTGAAAGTACGCGGCCTCGAGCACGGACGGGCCAAACTTCTCGGCAATGAGCTGCGCCGCGCGCACGTCGCCTTGGCCATTGTCGCCGATAAAGACGTGCTTGTACTCGGGGTAGATCGAGTAGTACTCGCAAAAGTTCTCAAACTTCTTCTGGGCCATGGGCTCGAGGTCGCCCTTGACCATGAAATCGTACCCGGACGTCATCGAGCCCGCGAGCATCGACGGCAGCGTGTGCATGCCGTAGTGGTCGTAGAAGCCCTTGAACTTCTCGTACGACTTCTTCTCCGACACGTCCTTATACACGTGCGGCCGCGCTGAGAGGAACGCGAGGTTGCCGACGCGGCCTTGCTCCCAGTGCACCGGGCCGCTCTGCCCGAGGTCGAGCTGCCGGTAGAACGCGAGGACCCCGGGGTACATGGCGTGGCGCGGGTACCGCGTGTCCATGCCGGCGGGGAAGAAGCCGCCGGACGAGTAGAGCGTGTCGTCGACGTCGCTGAGCACCTTGCGCCATGCGTGCTGCTTGCGCTTCGTCGCGATGTTCTTGGTGCTGAGCGTCATGTGCGCGCGCTGGATGTTGGCCTCCTTCTTGATGTGGTTGAGGATCGCGGTGCGAATGGCCACGTCGCGGATGTCGTGGTAGATGAGCTTGTGCATGCTGTGGACGCTGCCCTTGGAGTCCGTTGTCGACTTGAGCTACAATATCACGAATCCTGAGAGAGGGACGAGACGAGGAGTGGCGTACGATCGAGAGGTCGTCGCCAAAGGTCCGCGTGATGATGTTGCGGACGAATCGCTCGCACTTATCGTGGGCGCTGATGCGCATGAGCATGAGCGCGTCGAGAACTATGGCGCGCGACTGGATCGAGAGGTCGACGAGGCGGCTGTCGCAGAGGAGCTGGAGCAAGAGCGTGCGGTTGGCGTCCTTGACCTTGTAAAAGAGCAGCGCGAGCGGAATGCGGCCGAGGATATAATTTAGTTCGTCCTTCTCGGCGCGTTCGAGGATCGTGTACGTCTTATACTCCTACGGATTTGCGCATGAGAGACGTCGTAGCGAGAGGCAGTGGCGTACCTGCTCCTTGACGTGCTCCATGTTGATCATGTTGTTGATCGTCGAGGGTAAATAAATACGGTCAATCATCTCGATGCAGTGCATGATGATGTCGACCTTGGCCTGCGCGGGCGAGACGTTGACGCGCAAGAGCGGCGGGGCGCTGAGGCGGCTCGGCTGCGAGAGCGCTTTTCGGTGCACGTGGCGGTCGAGGAACTGGACGCCGAGCGTGAACGCAATGACGACGACGCCACCAAGCGATGGACTCCAGCGGCCAATCGAGAACGGCGAGTCCTGGATGTAGACGAGCGCGGTGCTAAAGAGGAAGGCCATGACGGTCCAGAACCGGTTCTCAAACTCTTGTGCGTTGTGCCATGCCCATTTCGACTCGGTGCTGAGGTAGAGCCCAATGACGTAGAGGAAGCCGACGCACGACGCGCAGAGCACGGGCGCGTACGCAAAGAAGGCGAGGAAGACAAACGCCCAGAACATGGTCAGCAGGAGCATGAGCACGAGCACGATCGGGCCCATGTTGGCCTGGTTGCGCATGGCTCGAACGGTCGGGTATGTGAAGAGGCTGCTGTAAGGAGAGGATGCAGCGTCGAGGCTCGGTGCGCCGGCAGATGGCGGCGAAGGCGACGGCGACGGGGACAAGCAGCAGCGTCGCTGGACTGCGACGTGCTGGAAAGGATCAAAACTGCAAACCACGTTTGGAGGCGTTTTTATTAATAAATCCACCCCATGGACGTGGGATCTGCATTTTTATAGCCAGGCCAAGTGTTTTCAACCACACCTGTTTTTTACGGTATACAAACACTCTGTCCAAACACACCTTTTGGTTTAAAACACCAAGGGAAATAAAATGCCAGAATCTCCATTTTTATTCGCTGGCAAGATCACTTGGCGTTTGTATACCCCTCGAGTCCACGAGATATGCGCGATGGCCTTCGGATAGGGTTGAATCTGCTTGCATTTTAACCAATGAGCGCGCACCTCTTGCGTTGCGATACCGATACAGCCATGTGTTGTGACAGGGTATGCATTCTCACAGGTCTGAGACGATACGACGCAAGCACGCGCTCGGTGGCGCCATGCCAGTTGGGCCAAGATATCAGATGTGAGAGGGGCGGGCCGCCATGCGGCCGCTGATGTCACGGCGCGCCGCGGGATGATGAAGCGGGAAGAGCCAGCGTGTTGATGTCAACAGGTGGAGGCTGTTGATGCAACAGTACGGACGCCCGAGCCGACCACGCGGTTGCGAAAAGCCGCCATTTCGTGCACAGCTGCGTGCGCCATTGGCCCAGCGAAGGTCGCGCTGGACGAACGGCCATGAAGGCTTCAGGGCGCCGCACATGGCGCAGAGAACCTTCGCGCCGAACGTTCCGCGCCCGTCACCCAAGTCGCGGCCATGACGTGGAGGCCCGGGTTTGTCGACGTTGCAACGGCCGACTCGCTGTTGCCACTTGAAGCTGCGGTGATGACGCAGGCGATTTGCACGCCACGCAATCTGTCGTGTCCTCGCGCGTCCCCTCCAATCTTCTTTGTTTCGAGTTATCCAAATGCTACGCAGTGCGTCGACACGCACGGGTGGGCGACACGTCACTGGCTACACGCCGAGCTCGTCGACAAACCGCGTGCTCGTCGGTGTCTTGCCCACAATCGAGGTAAGCATCGCAAGCGGCTCTTTGGCGCCGCCGTGGCGAAAGAGCTCGTCGTACACGAGCCGGCCCGATGCGGGTCGCCACGGGTCCTCAGCAAAGCACGCGCCCCAGATCTCGGCCGCAAAGACACGGGCGTAGAGATAGCTGTAGTAGCCGGCGCCGTACCCCACCTAGTCCAATGCCGACTCAGAACGTAGTCGCTTGATCTGTACCAACCAAATGCCCAAAGCGCGTGTGCCAGTGCGTGCCATCGACGTATGGCACGAGCGTCGCCTTGTTCTGGAGCTCTTTCAGCGCCTGCGTCGTCGTTGGCGGCGAGAACGGCAGCGGTTGGTCCCGAAACAGCGTCAGATCCAAGAGCGAGTAGAGACATTGCGTCTGTTGCGGTCGTGAGCAACCGAGGCGTCACGCGATCACATTGGTACCTGCGTCTCCATCGCGCTAAACATGTGCTTGGACGCCTTGAGGTTGGCGAGCATCGACGCCGGAATCGGGTGGTGCGTCTCGTAGTGCTTGGCAAATCGTTGGACGACGCGCTCGTCCCACGCAAAGTACTCGAACAAGTGGCTCGGCGTTTCGACAAAGTCGAGCTGCCCACGCGTGCCGCTGAGATGCTGGAACTCGGTGCGGCTCAAGAGCGAGTGCAGCGCGTGGCCAAACTCGTGGAAGAGCGTCTCGACCTCGCCGTGCCTACGGTATGCGCTTTCCTTTGTGCTCCAAGACACGAGAGGGGTACGTGAGGAGCGACGGCGTCGAAGCACTCGGCGGGCTAAAGTTGCAGACAAGCGCGACGATCGGCGTCTGGTACGACCCGTCCTCGAGGCGCTTGCCGCACCGAACGGTAAAGTGGGCGGCGTGATGGTACTTGTGCTGTCGCGGGAAGAGGTCCAGGTAGAGGACACCGAGGTCGACGCCGTCTTTCGTCAGTCGGAGCTTGCGCACGTCGTCGTGCCAGCTCTCGGGCGCCGACGAATCTTCTGGCGTCATGTCGACACCAAAGAGCTCGCTGCAGAGGAGCCCTAAACCCTCGAGGCAGCGCTCGAGCGGAAAGTACGATGCAATCACGCGCGCGTCGAGGTCGAACGCCTGCGCCTTGAGCATGCCCATGTAGTACGGCGTGTCCCAGCTCTCGAGCGGCAATGGCGCTGGAAAGAAGCCCTTGCCCTCCGCTTTGGTCTTGGCGGCAACAAGCAGCGCACGCTCCGAGGCCGCCTAGCGTCGCAATGAGGAAGATGAGACTGGTGAGGAGAGTGCGAAAAAATACCTTGGTCATGAGGTTGGAAGCAATGTCACGGAGGAAGGCGTCGACGCGGGACGGCGACCCGACCATCTTGTCGCTACCATCTATGTCTTATCAACGAGCCGGCGACGCTGAGGACTCTACCTCGTGGCGAGATGCGCATACGTCGGGAAGCCGAGCAGCGTTGCAAGTGCATGGCGCGCCGCAATTAGGTCGTCCAAGACCTAGACGCTCCATGGTCGAGGAGTCGAGGACGAAGCCTCTACCTGCAGGTTGACGCTGGCGCACGCGTTGCCAGCAATGTACATTTGCTTGCGCACATGTGCGTCTGGAATCCACTTGAGAATGCTGTTGGTCATCGGCACGGTCGTCGGGATCGCCGTCGTGCCGTTGGCGCTGGCGTGGCACTGCCCAAGGAGCCCATTCGGCAGCATCCGCAGCGCCTTGGTCGGGACCTGCGGTCGTCATTTTGATGAGCTTCTTCTGTGATCCTCAAGAGAGACTACGACGTACCTCGATGAACGAGTGCACGGAATGCATGTTGTCCTGGAACTGCATGCTCAAGCTGGTACAGAAGACATGTGAGGTGAGCGGGAGGGAGGGATCGACGCTACCGTGTAATGGCATTTTGCAGCTCCATGACGCGGCGCCGCCCCGCGTCGTCGAGGTGGATGCCATCGCGCTCAAACTCGGCCCGCAAAAGCATCCCCACGCGCTGCTGCTCCTCTGCAAGTCCATCGTCGTACAGCATGACATTGAATGCGATCTACCTGTAAAGCCGGCCATGAGGCTGCGGTTGTCCGTGACGGCGCGAAGGCAGTTGTACATGTCGACGTCGGCGTTGAGCTCCTGGATGAACGACGAGAGGTACTGGAATGACGCCGATGCGGCGGCGCGGAAGCGGCTACGAGAAGTGCCCATGAGGCGAGAGAGCATGCAAAGCTAGTACGCGTCCGGATGCACGTTGCGGCAGAGCTCGGCCGCGTCGATGACCCCACACACTGCGTTAGAGATCGCATCGAGGTCCTGGATCGTGCGGAGGCTCGGCGGGCGCGACGTGAGGTCGGCCTTGAGGCGGTTGCACGTCTCGACGGCGTCGCGGCCGAGCCGGTCAAAGTCGCTCGGTTGCACAAGTCCTTGGAGGCCAAAGAGTCCTGTGGGCGACCGGCGACCTCGGGGCGCAAGGTGCGAGAGCCACGAGAGGCGGCGCACGCCACCGACCGCGGTGCGCAGCATGATGGCGATCGAGTGGCAAATCCAAAATCATGTGTTTAGTTAGTACATACTTTAGTCGATTTCGGGCGACTCGACTCTCGCGAGAACGACGTTGTTGAAAAACAGAGAGCGGAGCTGGTGTTGTCGTTGGTGCTTGGACAGCTCTTACGACTTTACTTGTTCGAGCTGCCGGTACCGCCGACGGCTGCAGTGTGTCAAGCGAGCGCACGGCCTGCCCCTTCTGGAGGACACCTCTGGAGCACACTGTGAGGCCTATGCTGGCCTACATTCAGTCGAGCAAGCTGCAACGCCAGTCTGTAGTACAGAAGGGCGGTCTTGCTACGCACGCCGCCGTAGCTTTGAATCAGAAAGTGGTGCACTCTCCGGGACTTGAACCCGGATCTACCTGGTGGTAAACCAGTGTCTAAACCGCTAGACTAAAAGAAGTCGACAAGAACACCCCTTCTTGACTCTTTGGATCCAGCGACGCCAAACTGCTCGCAGATCTTGCCACGTAGTAAGAAACAATCTGTGTACGCTACAGCACTTGTAGCTGTTTCTTACATCGACATACTTTTACGATGGTAACGACACTGGAATAAAACATTCTGTGTTTAAAACAGTTTACGAGTCGGCTTGCAGTCGTGCGACTTTGACCCGGCTGCAACCGACGACATGCTTCAAAGCGGGGAGGTGCGGGCGCTCTACATAAAGGTCATGGACGTGCTTTCGGTCCCGCGCTCGGCCGCGCTGGTGCGCACGTGCTCGACCGGCGACGAAGCGGCTGAGCACGGGGCTGCGAGCAATGTCATGACCTTCTCGTAGCGCTCATGCACGTCCGCTTGCTTGA